TTGTTGTTTGTTGTAATACTCTGAAATTTTTTCTTCCTTGGATTGTTGTAGAGTACCCACCTGGATGGAGAAATATCTTTGTCTTTGTTTATAGTTTTAAGTGTTTAGAATAGAATATAGTATTTCAGGATTAAAACACAAAGAAAAGAAAAAGGAAAGCACCTTGTTCTTCAAATGTGTTTTCATTAGCCTTAGTCTTAAGACTTTTTACCATGTACAACAAACATGCTTTCTGGCTTATGATTAATTAATGCTAGTTAAAGGACAGAAATAGCCAAGACTAGCCACTTAATTTTTGTGACAATGCTGAGTATCAAGAGATTTTAATAATACCAAAATTATTTTTCATGAACCCCTATTTTAAATAATATTCTCATTTTAAGAACACCCTTAGATCACAAAACCTCATTTTTTAAATAAGCAAGTTTAAAGTTCAGAAACTGTGCTAGTTAACTGGGTGCCATAACAGGATACCATAAGTGCAGCATTTTAAACAGTAGGAACTTAATGCCTCATAGTTGTAGAGGTTATAAGTCATGCATAAAATGCTAGCAGGGTTGGTTTCTTATGAGGCCTGTGAGGAAAGAATCTATCTGTCCATGTCTCTCTTTTGTTGTGTTATTTCTGTTCAAATCCCCCCCCCCCTTTTTTTTTTTTTTGGTTTTACGAGACAGGGTTTCTCTGTATTGATTTGGAGGCTGTAGGACCAGCCCGGCCTCGAACTCACAGAGATCTGCCTGCCTCTGCCTCCCGAGTGCTGGGATTAAAGGCGTGCGCCACCACCACCCCAGCCAAATTTCCCTCTTTTTTAAGGACAATAACACTAATGACTTGGTCTTGTTTGTTTGGTTTTGATGCCAGTGCTAAGTTCATCCATTCTCGGCAAGCTCTCTACCATTGAACTATATTCCCAACCCAATCAACTTTATCTTAAAACCATCATTTTCCAAGGCCCTATTTCTAAGTTAGATTGTGTTTGCTGGCACAAATATAATCCATAGCAGATAGTAAGTCCTTCATTCAGTTTCCTCCCCACCCCTACCTGTAGTACCCATTTTAAATAGCTTTATTTAAGGCATTGCATTTCCACGTAAGATGCAGTCCTTATAAAGTGTGATGTTATTTCTTCCTGTGCACATGTTCCATGTTCAAGTATTGAGAATGTATAAAAACTTACTGTAGCAACTGTAACTTTAAAACTGCCATGGAACTTGCTAAATTTGGGTCCTTCGTACCTTTTCTAGAAAAATGCTACATCTCTACTTGGACTGACTTAACTTTTTTCATGGTGGGCCCTGAAGAAGCACCACCAGTGGTAGGTAGGAGCTCTCCTATCAGGGAAGCCCCAGGCATTCCACCTGGCATGCCATCAGCCCTCTGGTCCAGCTTGTTAATGATGGGGTAATGGTTGCAGACTTTCTCTAGTTCTTCCTGTGAGTGTTCAGCTGCTTCCTTCTCTGCAGTCTGATGGTTATCTAACTTACTGATGACTTCATTACACTTGTCTAGAATCTTCTGTTTGTTCTCATTGATATTGCCTTGAAGTTTCTCATCTTCAGTTGTTATACTCATGTTGAATGCAGAGGACTCCAGTGTATTCTTGGGTAATACTTTATCTCACTGCTTTTTCCCTCTTCAGCATTATACTTCTAAGTTTTCTAAACTATGCGCTTATTATCTTACTTGCTCAAGAGGCCCTTGTCATCAGTGATGGTGATCTTGTTCTCCTTTCCTGTGCTCTTATCTACAGTAGAAACATTAAGAATGCCATTGGCATCAGTGTCAAAAGTGACTTCAGTCTGAGAAATACTGCAGGGTATAGAAGGTATGCCTGTGAGTTCAAATTTTCCAAGCAATGTTGTCCTTGGTCATGACTCTTTCACCTTGATATACTGGAATGAGCATACCCATTGCTGTTAGGCAGGTAGTGAAGATCTGTGTCTGGTTGGTAGGAGTGGTAACATTGGGCTTGATGAGGACATTCATGACTCTATGTGAAGTTTCAATACCAAGGGGAAGAGGAGTGACATCCAAGAGTAGCAAATCCTGAACATCTCAGAATTGTCTCCGGATAGAGCTGCCTCCAGGCAGCCTGCTGGAGAGCTACACTGTAAAGCAAGAGCTTTAGCAGGGTTAATCCTCGTATTCTGTTATTTGCCACTGAAGAAGTCTTGCTAAAGCTTCTGAATCTTAAGAATTGTGGTAGAACCAGCAGGACAGTATCACGAACCCGTGACTTACCTAGTTTAGCATCTCAAAGGGCCTTTCTACAGGGTCCAGAGTGCCACAGAACAGGGCAGTATTCAGTTCTTCATTATGGTGTCAATAAATAATATTTCTTTAAAAGGTATGACAGTACATCTATAATGCTATGTTTATAATTAATATTCTAATATTGTCTTTCATTTGGTGAGATTTTATTTTAAATTAACTGAGTTTCTAACATAATAAAATTTAGGGTTACAGTAGTTTTCAGTAATTCTTTCAGACAATAAATAAATGATGGCACAGACTGTGGGAAGCTGAGACTCACACTTATGTCTGAGCTTTCAGTAATAAAATTCAGAGGGTTCAATGTGAACTTCTTTTTTGTAAGATAGTGAAAAGCCTTTCAGAATACTGTGTAAATGATTATAAGTACACTCTCACAGTAGGTTTTCTGTGCATTTCATAACTCTAGATTGCTGCTGTGACCATGCATATATACACACTTTATCTAATTAGGGACTCAGTTTATTTATTAGATTAATCTTCCTGTATGTAACCAATTTCCTGATTACCATTCTCCTCTTGAGTAAGTTCAGATACCTACCTTGTCCTCGAGCTGAATTATGAAGGAAAATTCTCTTTTGGTTTATTATTTTACAGCAAATGTTAAACGTCCAGAGTGACTCTACCTTTGGTTCATTTGATTTCTCTATTATTATTTTTAACTTGAAAAAAAATGTTAGTTTCATGTTAGTAGAATCTCTCTATTATTGATAGTTTCCCTAGAACATGAACAGGTGGACATAAATGATTTAGACAGGAAGAACACAACATAACCTTAATTCACTCACACAGACAAGTTAGATAATTAGATTATTTTCTTTTTGATGATACTTAGGCTAGCATAAAACTTTGGCCTTCAGCACAAAGTACTTTGCAGTCATGCTAGAAACTTCCCAAACAGTTCTACATATATTATTCCCTGTCCTTTCCATAAACTCTGTTCCATCTCATATTTCCAGTCCAACTCATCCAAAAAAGAGTTAATTATTGAAGTATTTATTAGCCTCTTCTCTAATAGCATCTTTAAGCTACTAATCAAGTCCTAACCCAGGTATTAAAAGGAGATTTGATTGAATTAATTCATGCTGATTGTACCGCTTTTTTCACCTAAGCTGTTCTCTTTTGGTTTAGTTTTAAACTTAGAGGTTCTTAAATAGTGTGTATATTTGACTGTGGTAGAAGTTATCTGCCCCTTTTTCTTGCATATAAGTGGTCCATGTTGGGGACTATAAGGGAAGGATGTTGCTTCTGATTCTCTGCCCCTGTCTATTTGTGGGAACCTGAATATTCTTTGAGTATTTAAGCTTGTTCTCTAGAGCTCTCAGAGTGCCTATTTCAATAGTGACCAAAGGGTCTGCTTTTTTGGTATATGTATATTTTACCATATTAACTAACAATACAAATTTGTATACTAGTAAGATATATCTGCTTATTTATTTTGTATAGAAGTCTTGGCTGAATATTTGATACTGCAAAATATTATGGTTTTTTTCAACATTTTTCAGGGTTGACCAATATTTTTATTTTTACAGTTATCATTGTTGAGAATGCCACTGCTGCCATTGTGGAAAACGGCAGAAGTAGGTTTAGGCCCATTTCAGATATTGTTGGAAATAGTGTCCTAATACCAAGCCAGAATTCACTTAATAATATTTTATGAAACTCAGATCATTAATTCAGAAACATTCCTAATACAATCCAGAGATACAGTGTTCTTTTTAAAAGTTTTTAAAAAATTTGTATGTGTGTGATTGTATAGATTTATATACACCATGTGTGTAGGTGCTTAGGAAGGCCAGAGAGGGCATTTGATCTTCTGGAACTAGAATTACAGGTAATGATGAGCCACCGGACTTAGGTTCTGGGAACTGAACCTGGTTCCTTTGCTGGAGCTGAGCCATCTCTCCAGCCTCAAAGATGCTGTAATTTGATACTTAATATACTGATGTAGAAAAATACTAAGTCCCATATATTTCTACAAGAGCAGAAAACTTTGCAAGTACAGTTATCATCTGTACTTTATAGCACATTAATCTTGAATCTGAGGCAAGGTGTCTCAAGCAGAATTGGTTAATGCTGGGTAGTGTGATAGCATGTGCTGTGCAGTGCATAATGTTCATACGGAATGTGCAGAACCAAGGCTGTAGTGAGGTGTGAAATACAACACTGGATCAACACTGACAGTAATACCTGTTTATTACACACATATTCATTTCATATCGTATTTTAACCAGACGTCTAACATGCTTGAAGACAAGTGACCCTTAAGAACTCAAATTTTATCCAATGTATTATTTGTGTACACTTAATTTTAAACAATGTCTTTGCTACCAATTATTGGTCTCCCTTTTCAGTGCTGAAACAAGCCACTTTAGTCTTCTGCTTTAGTCTCTTTCTCTAGCCCCCCCCCCCCCCAATCTCTGAATGTGTAACTCATCCTTAATGTGCAGGTCCTAAAAGAGCTTGGATCTTGATGTCAGCAAAATCTGGTTCGTAATCCTGGCTCCAAATTATTAATGTGCCATTGAGTAAAAAGTTCTTTAGTTTTCTGTGCCTCAGTTTCTTTATTCCTATGAATTTAGCAATCGTTACTTTGTAGTGTTTTTATAATGATCTCTGAAATGTTGTGATTTAATTTCAAACTTTAATAAACATGTTTAGTAAGAAGATATTACTTTCATTTACATATGAAAGTCACACATGCAGAGGTCTATTAAGCGGTGTTGCTTAAAAATACTAATTGCTGTTACATGGCCCAGTTGGGTTGATGTCTATTTTAAGTAACAAACTATCTTCTCCCTGAGTTTGATTTTGAAGTGAGCATGTTGCATGTCAGCAGTCAGCTAATGTGCTCTGCTAATTCGGTAGTGTAAGAAGATTCATATATAATGAATATCTGCTCAGATGCATTTTGCACACACTCTCCTGCTTTTGCATTTATGCTGTTGTCGTGTTTTAAGAAGGACTTTCTCCTGGCAGTGTGTGTTAATAACTGGAAAATTCCCTATCAGTAGACTAGCACCATCTTGACAAGCCTGTGTTCTGCTTCTACCTTGCTAATTGTTTCCTTGGGATTATTTGGATTGTGTAGAAAGCCTTTTGCAAATCCTCTTATTACTGAAGTCATTGTTGCCAGCAGGAATAAGATTAAAGGTGCTTAAGGCTGTAGAGTTGTTTCTAATTTGTTCATGTCATTTCAGTGGCATTTTAGCAGAACTCTGTCTCCTGTCCCTCCCTTCTCCCCTGGTACTATCTCAAGTTAGGTCCAAGATGCCAGACCATTGGAAGAAATCTCATTTTATTCTCCTAATTATTATGCTGGCACTTGGGAGATAATTTTTCCCTTCATGCATTGCCAATTAATATGCAAATAAGCTAATAAATATTTATGTATTCATTCAAATTATGCAGGGAGTGCTTTCAGTGTATTCTGTAAATGAATTGTTCCTGGACTTCAAAGTGCTAGCTGCTGTGCTAACGAGGAGAGATTTGCATAAGGCCCTAATCACACGCATACTGATTAAGCTTCATTATGGAAACTGCCAGCTGCAATCTTTGTTTCTATTTTATTACAAAAAGGGGAACTTTTCATGCTTCAGTTGCCTTGACAATGTCAGTCCTAGCTGGTAGAAGAGACTAAAACTCCTCTGAGCAACTGAAGTTTCCTTATTCAGTTGAAGATTGCTATGGTGCAACTGAAGTTGTATTTTGCTTCTCTTGTTAATTCACTTTCCACTCCTCCCACCCCTGTTCTCGTAAGAACATAGTACAGATTTGTTAGAAATAGTAGTACCTTCTTTTCCCTATCCCAAACGATACCTGTTCCTTCTTGCTTTGGACTGTCTGCACCTCTTGAAGATTTTACAGCAATGCTGGACTGCAGTGACTGTGTTCTAGGTGGGTACCAGCACAGTTCTTTTCTTATAGCTTTAATATGGAAATAGCATGTGTGGGATTGACTATGCATAAATGCTCAATCACATATGCAACCAGCATGGGGGAGGGGAGGGCTTGAGCAGAGAAGGAGCAAAGCATTTGCAAGGCAAGAGCATGTTTGAGTTTGCTGTAGGTCCCTCCCTAGGACTAGGTCTTCTGATTCAGAGGGTATTTTCAGCAAATAATGTATTTGAATTTGGCTTGCACGGAGGACTGCATTTTGGAAATTTCTATAGAAAGTAGTATATGTAGTTAAACACATTTTAAATCAGAAACAAAATATATACTATATCAAAATAATGTGTACATACTAATGAAATATTTTGTCTATCTAATAGGAGGAATACCTCGTACAAAACCAAAACTACTAAATGAAAAAATTAAGGTGATGTCATAGTACAGATTAATACCATTAATATTATTACACAGGAAAATTATAGTGGTTACTGCACGATCAATTTCCAGATTTTAGAATTTTGACTATGATTTGTCATTTTGATTTCTTAAAACCAGCTTTTTCTTTTTTTTAAGTATTGTGGAAAACCTGTTACAGTGTGTTCCCTACAGAACAGGAAGCCTTTTAGAAATGGAGGTGTTCTGCTTGAATAAATGTAATGTTTTGGGTGGTAAGATAGATTGAAGTACTTTGGTGTAGATTTTTTTTTATGTTTACATGAATGAATGAAGCCTTTTTAGGAAAGTCATCTGTTATAAACTCCAAGAATTGGATATCTTAAGCCTAAAAATTCAGCAAATGATTTTATTTCCTGTGTCATTTTCCATTCTTGAAATTACAACACTTGTTAATGATAAAGTAAATTGATACTTCCCAGAAACATCTCAATTCTTATACAGAAAGCATGGCTAAACTCAAGTTAGCAGTAATACTTGTCCATCAGAGTAAAAAAAAAAAAACTTCTATCTCAGATGTGCATGACACAAACAGCATATTGATGTTAGTTAGGAAGGCATCAAATTAAACTCATATGATTAGCTAAGTGACATATAGCCTTGTGTTTTTTCTATTTAAAAAAAACCCTGTAAATATCAATGAATAAGTTACTTGCATTTTCTCTTTTACACTTACAAAGTTTGACATTCAGGAAATGAAAGAAAAATGGATTTGAACTATTATTTACCATTTAAAAAAAAAGTCAGACCCTGTATCTACTACTTAGTTGATACTAAGTATCACCAAAACAGCCTTCTCATCATTGTATAGTTAATTAGTATTTTATTTATTCTGTTTTATGTTTGAAGTAATTTTGTTAAATGCTTTTGAAGGTCTTGACAGTAAAATAAAAGGTCCTTAGAAAAGTCATGTAAAATACCTGTGACATAATTTTCAAATGTATACATACGTGTATAAATTAGGCTTGTGATTTGTTAAGAATTAGGCTTCTTGATTACTGTGGTGTGTGGATATGAGAAAATTATTAACTCTTTTTATACATGTTTACAGATTCATTATTTTTTCTATTTTGTCTTAAAATACATTATAAAGAAAGTATTGAGCGTGTATATAATGACATATTTGAGTTTTGTGATATTTGCTAGGTTTTGGAAGACTTTGGTTGAGTCAAACAGAAAGCTAATTTTTACTAAGTTGTACACCTGGTCCTTTCAAACTGTAGTGTGCTTTCAGGTGGTATTTAAATTTTTCTGGACAATGGGGGAGGATATTGTAGAACGACCTCATTTATGACTATCGACATACAAATTTTAGCCCTTTGAGCAAATCAGGGATACTATAAAACTACCTTGGCCCATAAGACGTATCTCAGTTATAATATTTTACTATGTTAGAGAATATATTCCCCAGTGTCTAAAAAACATATTGCCTATTTTCTAGGTTATGAAATATGAAAAGAAAGATTCCTGATACTTTTCTTCTTTTCTCATACATGTAGATAGTGCTACTGTTGACAGCATGGTTAGGACTTTTAAACATTTCCAGCAGATGTTTTTTAAAAAATCAGTACAATACAGTTTCATTTGTTCTCTAATAATAATTTATTTCATGACAAATACTCTGTTTTGTCTATTCTGCTCACCCTTAGAAGAAGAAATGGGGCATAGGTATTCTTGTCTTTTCCCTGCATATTTTCTGGGGTTGCTGATAGTGGTTGACAATGTTTCACTATGGAAACTACAATTTCATACCCTAAAAGGAAGTCTCCCTAAACTAGAAGATTCATGTGTAACTGGGTGTGACTCTTTTAGAACTATAGAGATTCCTGTTATGCCTTCTGCTGCAATTTGTTATGCTTATTTTTAATGAGACATGTATTTGACATACCCCTGTGTTGACTCTAGTTTGGTTAAAGAAGTCAATGGATGTTTTAGACAAGTTACTTTCATCTGTTAGATTATTATTAAGTGTGAATTTGTTGTAGTTATAATTAATATCTTTGCTTTTAGAAAAAAGTCATCTAGGAATATAGTTCTTATTTTTTTGAGGTGTTTCCTGCTTCCAAGTTTATTTTAAACGTATATTATACTTGTCTATCATAAAATATAATTTTTTTTAGAATGTCTGACTATAGTATCTTTTTCAGCTTAGACCTCTCTTAAAAGAATCTCAAAATTTTTTTAGATGATTTACTTACGGGTTCCTTTATGATTAAGGAGCTCCTAAACCTCTTTCAGAAACCTTTTACTCAGTTTATAGTATTGTAGCCTGCTGTATGCTATGCATGGACTTACTTCTTGAAATGAACCACTGTAACATTGCTTTTCCTGTAGTTTTGGCTCCTTAGCTTCATCTTCACCCCTAGTTTTTTAAACACCTTCTCCACCTTTGGCTTATTGTAGATTCAAGAATGAACAATCCGTCAGAATCCAATAAGTCATCTATGGAGAGTGGAGATGGCAGCACTGGTAAGAAAATGTTCTCTTATCCATCTTTTGTATTAGCTTTCATAGAGCTAAAGAGAATGTACACTTAACTTGATGCATACATATTTGACAAATATAGAGAAATTTATGTACTTGCTTGTAACTATGACTTAGTCTTGTAGGGACTGGAATTATGTTTGTTTAACATTATCTAACTCCTCTGAGGAGTGCTTCACTTATCTGATCCCATCCATCAGAAACTACAGACTAGTTATGGGAATGGTCCTGTGGAACTGACAGACCTAGGTCTGTGTTTTGGACTTGCCACTTAGTAACTATGTGACTTTAGGCAACCTCCTCAGTCTTTTTGTGACTTAATTTATTCATTAGGCACATTCATGGGTCATCATCATGAGTATTGAGTGAGAATATGTGCGAAGTGTTAAAGCATCATATAAGCCAGAAGCTGTTCTGGTAAGTTTCTTGGTTATATTTAAAATTATAATAGTAGATGCTATCCACCCTGCATTTGGTATAAACTATACTAACATTACAATGGTGTCAGTGAGGAATTATAAGCACACCTAATAATCCTTTCAGTTTACCAAATTTTATTCTTGATCAAACCTTTTGTCAAGAGAAACTATTGTATGAATGAGAAAACTGAAAGCCCTTTAAGAGATAGGTACATCTATTTTTAAAAAAGTATAATTTGTCTCCTTAGCCCATCCTTGTAAGTCAGTTAGCTCATAGGGCATTTGACAAAATAACCCGTCATCTAGTAAATATGATACAAGGATTTTCCTAGTTTCTGGTAGAGACAAAATAGAAAAGTATTATAACATTAAGGGAAGTGTGGGCAAGGAGTTGTAGAAAGTCATTGTTTGTAAAATAAACTAGGTTTTCCACTTAAGAGAAAGGGTTTCCTCTTACTATTATTTCAAAATATGCCTAACTATGGGAGGTGGAAGACTGGGTTGACCCAAAAGAAGTCTTGTGTCTGCAGTTGTCTCATTGTAAACTATCCTATACTTGGAGTGGTTGTTAACCTCTTCTCCTTTGAAAGATAGATACTTCTTTATGGGAGACTGAACTGGGACTTTCATGTTCATCTTTGTCATATTTAATATGCTCCCACTTCTTTTGTTGAGGCTAGCCAAATAGACTACCCAAGATGAACAGCATTGCTTTCTACCCAAGTCACCAACCACTCTCTTTGTTTCTATTCCCTGTTTGGGCCCTTCCTTTCTTTATCTTGTAGCACTGACTTATGCAGATGTAAGTGTCGTTGTCAAAGGAGTGGGACTTGTTTGCAGAAAGTAAGTAGGCAGTTAAACCTATGAAGAGGCAAGAGAAACATGGGTAAAACTCCCACACCTAACAAATAGCTTCCAAATTTCTCTTAGGGAAGAGAAGTAAACTCAGAATGATTACAGAATACTGAAAATATCCACTAGTCAGACCCCCTGGGAATCTCTGTATTAATGCCATAATTTCTGTCATATCATTTATTGAGTGCCTATAGTGTTTAATGACAATCTTTGTTGTGCTTTTTTTTTTAAATCTTCAGTGCTGATTCCAATTAAATTCTTATGACAGGTTAGATATTATTTCAAGGAATAGGGAGTTGAAGTGAATAAGGTGTGTTGCTTGTACAAGTAAAAGCCCGCCTGAAGGTCAGAGAATGGAGCTTGCCACTAGGTAATCATAGAGGTGTGGAGTTCTGTACAGACATACAGGAACGAGATGGCTGGGCGGAGATGGGGGTTTCTGTCCCACCTTGTCCCACAGCCGTTTAGTCCCAAATAAACACACAGATGCTTATATTTTATAAAATGTTTGACTGATGGCTCAGACTTCTTATTGGCTAGCTCTCTCAATTATTAGCCCATTTATATTCATATATGTATTTTCACACAGTCTTGGCTTACCTAAGAATTCCCAAGTGTCCTATATTCCCTGCAGGTACATGACGTCTCTCCCTCAACTCATTCTCTGTGTTCCTCTTCCCAGAATTCTCCCAGTCTGGTAGCTCCACCTATACTTCCAGCCTTGCTACATAAAGGCAAATTTAGGATTAGGACCCTATATATGCTTATCTCATCAGCTATAATACATACAATTGAAATTTTTAAGTAACACATTGTATATGCTCAAACCTAAAGTCATTTATAAACTCAGACTGGAGTATTTGTTGAGTAATTTATGAATTTCTTGTCTTGTGACAATATGGAATGTGTAACATACTCTTTTCATAGAACTGAGAAAAATCAGTTCACGTAGTTACTTTGTCCTGCTTTTGGTGTTTTTTGTTTCTTTCCCCCCCAATGTCTTTGTAACCCTGGCTGGCCTCGAACATTTTATATAAAAGAGCAGGCTGTCCTTGAACCTCCTAGTGGTCCTTGTGCTTCTGCCTCAAGAGTGCTGGGATCAAAGGAGTGTACCACACTCCAAGAAAGATACTTTTTAATGTTAGTAACACTCTTTTCTAGACCTCTTTGCTTTTCTATCACTAGTAGTAGTAGTTAATATTCTTTACAAAGAAAGAAAATGAATTGCTGTTCTCTTAAGATCTCTGCTAATAAAAAAACATCTAGCGGAGCCAGGCGATGGTGGCGCACGCCTTTAATCCCAGCACTCGGGAGGCAGAGGCAGTTGGATCTCTGTGAGTTCGAGGCCAGGCTGGACCGACAGCCTCTAAAACAGAGAAACCCTGTCTCGTAAAACCAAAAAAAAAAAAAAAAAAAATTTTTTTTTTAGCTAGATCAAATATGAGCTGGTTACCACCCTGTGAAACATAGCAGCTTACTTTGTGCACTACCTTCATAGGCAAAAATTACATTCACTTCACAATAACACACTTCATCAATTTTTCAATGTTAAGTGAGGTCTGCTACTATGTTCTTAGCACTACCTGGTGGTGTTAACTTGTTGGTTTAGAAATATAGACATATCTTTGAGTTCTCTTTTATGTATTAGATTATTGTGTTTGGTATATTAGAAATTACAGTCATGCATATAAACCCAGCAGTCGGAAAAATGAGGCAAGAGATTTGCCACGAGTTTGAGACCAGTCTAGGCTACATAACAAGACCTTGTTGGGGGGTGGGGGAGAGAGGAAGGGTGGGCTTGGTAATTTAATTAAGATTTTTTTGTAGTTTGGGGGGCCCAAATTTTTTGAGGAAAATAACCTTGAATATTATATAAAACCAAAATCTAACACTTTATAGAGTCAAAAAAAAAAAAGATTTTAAGGGTTCAGACATTTTGGACAAATAAGGTTCTTATGTTCACAGAAAATCTGTGGTTTGGATTTGTTTAGGTTTGCCTGTTTTATATGTAAAATGTTATAGTTGGTATTATTAGATACAATACCAGGCAGAAAACTGATTCTGTATAGATTATGGTGAGTTATCCAAGAGCAGGCATAGAGAAGCAACATAATGCTATTAAATGGTGTCCCCCCCTCTGCAAATTTTGTGCTTACATTTTCCTTTAGATTTCTTTTTGGGATTGTGTGAGCTCACTTAATAATGCATTCAAAGTCTACTCATTTTCTGTAAATTTTGTGATTACATTTTTCTTTAGAATTGAATAGTATTTAGTTTTATCTAACAAGTTTTCATTAGCCATTCATCTGATGACATACAATTAGGCTCATTCCAAGTCCTTGCTCTAGTGAATAAATCAGCAATAAACATGGGTTTGCAAATATCTCTGTGATAGGGTGGGGAATTCTGGGTATGTGCCCAGGAGTGAAAAACGGGATCATATAGTAGTTCTATTTTTAATTACTTGAGACATTTCCAAGCTGATTTCCACAATGGCTGTACTAATTTGCATCCATTCCACCAATAACACTTTCTCACCACATCCTCTCCAGCATTTGTCAGATTTATTAATGATAGGTAGCCGTTCTCACTGCGGTGAGATGATATCTCAAGGTAGTTTAAATTTTCATTTCTTTGTAAATTCTGGATATTAGCCCTATGAAATGTAATTGGTAAAGATTTTCTACCATTCTGTAGGGTATTTGTTGTATTTGTTAAATATGTATTTCTTTGACAATTTTGAAATACGTTTATCGGCCAGGTAAAAAGAACCACCATTGAGGGAGAAAGTGTACAAGTGAATTAGGGACTAGAATTCGGATCCCAAGAAACCCACATAAATGTTAGGTGGGTATAGTAGCCTGCCTGTAATTGTGCAGCCTTGGAAGGTAGACATGGTGGGGGGGGTCCTCAAAGCCAGCTGGCTAGCAAGACTAGCCACATCTTTTAGTACTCTGCTTGATTCAAAGACTCAGTGAATATAGTGAAAGAGTGATCAAGTATGATTCCCAACGTCAACCTCATGCACATGCACACACAAAACCATGCATACACACATGTGAAAAATAAAAATTGAAAAAAGAAAAAGAAATGAGAGAGTAAGATAAGAAGTAGAACAAAAAGTTAACTTTGCAAATGAGGTTGGGAAGAAGAAAGGAAAACAAAATAGTCTCCATTGCTCTAGGTATCTGCCGCTCCTAGAGAGATCACTAAAGTGTAATAAAATAATGATTTTGATATTAAATTTTTCTTACTGGAAAATACATTTAAAACATAAACACTCAACATTGAGAATATTCATTAAGAAGTATGTGATTCATGAGAGTCCAGTGTAAGGAAATTTTATTTCTAGTCGGAAGGAGGGTTGTGGGAGACATTAGAGGAGGTAGAGTTTATGCTGCCCGTTGAAGAATGGGTTGCATTTAAATATAATGGTTGGCAATTTTCTTTCATCATGAAGAAACAGTAAAAACTAAGATGAGGCTAAAGAAAGGTGTACCAAGTACTTCTGATTCCTTAGTACCTCTGTTTCCTTTATAAAAGAAAAAGTTAAAATATATTATGATTTCTAGATCTTTCCCACTTAGTCATTCTCAGAATTATGGAATTCCACTTTTATAGAGTTTAATTTAGTCATCGTTACTATTGACTTACTAGAATATCTGAAGCAATGAACTGTTCATTCATTGAGTTTGTAGCCAATTAACTATC